CGCCTCATTAACCAGGTGCACACATTATCCACGTGCATTACACATGAACACAGTCAGAAACCTAAAAAATGGCAGACGTGTTTTTTCAGTGGTTCCTCTTTCTTGTGTCTCTTGTTTTTTGTAAGATGTGCTCTACATTTTTTCATTTTCTTTTTCTATTATTGCAACATTTGACCACTTCTGAGGACATTAGTATCTAAATCCACAATGTGTAACAAGCTAAATGTTTCTGCTTTATCCTTTTTAGCCCTCGTTGTGTAATCTCTTGCTTCCTCACAGCAGAGTTTGTGAACCACTGATGTGTCACTGCTTCAGCTGTTGCACTGACTTGAATGTAATGACATCATGGTGAAAGTATTTTTTTTTTTTGGCCTATCACTCGCATAAACAGGGCGGATGTTACGGAGGCTCTGGGCTGCACATTTCTCTGCAGAGCTTCTCTTGAAGAATGCTGCCTCAATCGTTTGTTGGAAATGTAGGAAGGTTTGTGCACTCTGATGCAGAGAAAGGGCTCAGACAGAGCTGAAAAATACCCATGAGTCATAATTTCTCAACTGGTGAGTTCTTACTCTGTGCTTTTAAAATGGCTGACACACTCCCTTTATATAACCTACTGTACGCTGCATGCTTTTATGTAACCAGAACATATAACAGATGCATCAGATTTGTCATTAGTTACTGAGGGATTGCATGAAAATGGCCACACCATCTAGATGCCCGTCCACATGTTGTGTTAGGTTTTAGTCTCTGGTTGACTCCAGGAATCTTTTACCAGATGTTTGCATCATCTGATTAATGGTTGCAAAACTCAAGTCAGTATAATTGTTGTAAACAGTTGCTTCCCCTTGCCTCGTTGTGACTCTACAGTTCCCATCATGCTCCAGATGTTTGTGATGATCTATGTGCTGTCAGTTGTCGTCTCGCAGTCAACAAATCCCCCATCTAAGAGAGGTCGGAATTTCACCATCCACTCATCCCAGCTGGTCTGCAGTCTGCCGGGCCCAGCGGGGCCTGCAGGGAACCCAGGAGCCCCTGGATCACCCGGGGTCATGGGCCCCATGGGGCCCCCCGGGACAGACGGCCAAGATGGGAAGGATGGAGAGAAGGGAGAGAAGGGAGCTCAAGGTAGTAGTTAATCTCTAGTTGTATGTTACTGTGAACTTGAATGATCTTCACATCATATATGTCACTGATCTGATTTTTCTTTAGCACAACCTCTCCAACATCTATGC